TTTGCTTTGCTTGCTTTGCTCTGTGTCGTCTTGCTGTTCTCTGTATGTTCTCACTTACTGTTCATATGATTCAGTGTGTTAAACTCTGTTCCCATCGTTGGTGGGATACGATGATCATATTGGCTCCAAAATGTGTGTCAAAAATCATCGTGTCAAACTATCAGATCAGATCCAGCTGCTCTGATGAACACTGGCCTCAGTCTTTTGTTTAAATAAAGTTTTCTTACTATAGATCTTGGTCAGTGGTTCAGTCAGGGCCAGATGTCGCACTGTGCAGCTGTAGATGTCTCCCAGCTGTGCGGTGAACTGCAGTCTGGAGATCTGGGTGAAGGGTCCATCTTTGTTGGGATAAGGAACGTTGGTGCTGGATCCTTCTGTGACCTTCTGTCCGTTCTTGGTCCAGGAGACGTTGACAGGAGCAGGATAGAAACCAGTCACGTGACAGATCAGAGTGTTCTCCTCTCCAAACTCCACCTCATCTCTGGTGTAGATCATCACAGCTGAAGGAGCATCTGTGCACAAACACATCAGGCAGAGGATCAGAGCTTCAGCTGGTTTCCATCAGCAGGTGATCGTGATAAACATCAATGACTTGTTCAGTCATTCACTGAGATGATGCCATCATTGTCTGTGTGAGAGAAACTAGAGAAACAGGAGCACAGACAGAACTCTGCTCAGCTCCAGAGAAACGAATGAAGAAAAATAAATGTGGTCTTTAATAGAAACACAAATAGAAACATGGCAGTTTCTGAATGTGTTTACGGTGGAATGATTTCATATCTTTAATCAGTTTGTTTCACTGGCTGTGTTTGATCGGACTGATCATTCAGGTAAACACAGGTGAGGTGAGACACACGTTAAATGTTTGTATTTACGGTTATTGGAAGGGTAGTCCTTCATCACCGCGCCAAGAGCCTTCAGGTTGTGTCTGCAGACCTTCAGCTCAGTCACAGCTTGTTTATACGCTCCGGGGTAAGCCATAGGATCGGCAAAAGGAGGCAGCATGTAGACTTCCGTGTGGTTGTTAAAGTCTGCGTAGGCAACCTCCTCCCCATCCAGTCCATACATGTCCTCTGCATCGAAGTCTGAACACCCGTTTATATGAACGTCTCCGTGCAGGCCTGAAATGAAACACCGATCAATAAGCTGCTGCCGGCCTGCCAGAGTTTACTGAGACAAACTCACCATCGGCAGAGACACAGAGGACACAGGAGAGGAAGAGGAGCAGCTCCTTCATCTTCATCAGCAGCTCTCTGACCGTTAAACTGTGTGTGTGAGTGTGTGTGTGTGAGTGAACCGACTGAAAGTGTAGCAGCAGCTGAGCACTAACTCAGAGTAGCCAATCACAGAGGTCACACCCCCTGATGTCATCAGTATCCAGGCAGCTGAAGGGAAAACAATCTACAAACAGCTGGAGACAGCTCCAATCAATCATCAGTATTTATAGACTCTTCACAATAATGTTTATCGTCATCAGTTTCCCCTCTGATGATTTTCAAAATAAAACAAGCTTTATTTGAAAAACGGATTCAGTTTGTTTACAAAGATTTAGAAGAAGAAATAAAATGTGAATTTGTCTTTTAAAATGGTTTCTGTGTCTCGGCCTGATCAGAACATGTTCATCACAGCAGCCTGAAACACCATATATGTGTAAGGTTTTTTAGGACAGTAAACTCAGTCTTATCTAAATGTAGGAGCAAAATGTT